ACTGTTTAAAAAGAAAAATAATTTCAAATAATCTTATTTTTCGAAACACAAGAAATTAACCAATCTTCTGTAAAATATTCAGCTTTTATGTAGCTATCTCCAAAAATTCGGTGCTCGAAAAGGATACATAATGAAAAATGCCCCAAAACATTAAAAAAAAAAAAACAAAAAAAAAACGTTATCGTCAAAATTTTTATGTTCTTACTAAATAACATGAAATGAAAAGGGATACTTTTTTTCCGCAATGAAAGAAAAAAGTTCAACATCCCCCACCCTGTTTTAAAATATTTCCTAAAAATTAGGGAATTATCCGATTCAAACAAAATATTCACTACATATTCGTTAGTGAATTAATATTTTATTGAATCGTTATTTTATTTTTAAAAAATAACCTTGCGAAAATTTGTGGGTATGTTTCACCCCGACCCTTTCAACATATCGTGTGTACTTTTTAATTTGGTAATGTTCGTTCAAATCTTTTACAGTTATATAAAAAGAAATCCCTGAAGATGTTATTTCAGTAAAAAATTCATGCAATGTCGAGTATGAACATTCGGGAAATTCAGCCCGTATATTACCAAAAACAATTCTATAAAACTAAAAATATTTCTTGAGAACTGTTGCTTGCATAATTTAATAAAATACGTTATTTTCTTTCAGATTTTGAAAAAAAAAAAAACATCTAAATAGTTATATTTTCGAATTTTGAATCAATGGGGATAAAGTATCCGTCCTCAAAGGAGTTGATATTTTGAACCACTAACGAGCTATAAAAAAAAAGTAAACAATTACTTACCAAGGCAGAAAAGATATATTTAACCGTTTCATGTAGAATCTAGACTGCTGCTGTAAAGAAGAAGGATAAGTAGAAAAAATATTCAAAACTTGAGATTTTTATCTCATACGTTTGAAAGTCTATACCTGCGAAAATCTATTACAAAAACTTAATATTTTAACCAAAAAAAAAAAAGAGAGAAAAAAGAAGGAAAACCAGCAAAGCCTGAGATAGGTAGTCCTTTCTCACCCTTCGAACTTGAACACTTACGATGTAAGTAAAATTCTTGTATTGTTTTTAAATGAAAAGAGAAAATTGATTTACACGAACTCTTGTTTTCTAAAGAAAAGGAATTTGAACTTAGGCAAGAACTGTTATTTTGTCATGACTATTTTGAGGCGCGCAAAGGAAATTTTGTGCAATTTTGTATTTTGTACTATTTGATATTGTAAAAATACTTTTTTGTTATTGCAATAAATGTCCGTTACTTTTCAAATTTTTCTTTGTTTTTTTTTTGTTTGTTTTTTTCATTATCGCATTTGAAAAGTCCTTGTAAAAAATACCCAAAAAAGAAGCGATACCTAAGTTTAAAATGCATTTTTTTAAAAAAGAAAAAATTATTGAAGCTTTAATTTTAGTTTTAATTTCAAGTTAATACATTAAATTTAATATTCAAAATAAGCATAATACCTTGGTGTATTTAAAACCGAATTTAAATTGGATTTTTCTGATTATCAATAAAATCTATAAATTCCTTCATATTGAGAAATCTGTCGACATATCATAATTATCTTTATTAAAAAATCTTTCCAAATAAAATATACTTTTCTGAAACGTTATTTGAGAAAAAATAGCTTATTTAAATTTTAATTAATCTCAACTGAAACAAATACTACGTACTTTTAGGTTAAAATATCGCAGAAAAGCATCTTTTTAAGACGGATAGGATATTTTTTATGTATTTAGTAATTAAATTGATAGCCTGATGTCCCGGATTTTAAGTAAGAGGCACATAATTAAAAAAAATTCCATGACGAATATAATACCTTATTCGTATGCCTAATGGAAATACTGACGCATGTCACGTGACTTTTATTTAGATAAAGTTTTTAAAAAATGCATATCACCAAGAGCTATGTCGAAATTTTATGGATGAGGAATTATCGTTATTATATGCATTTACATCTGGATGCAAAAATCTATGTGGAAAATATGCTACGATCCGCCCTTTCCTCTACCTATCGAAAACATTTCGGGATTTTATAAGCCTTGATTCTGAGCCTGATTGAAGCAATGCAGTGTCTGGCCCACGTTTACAGAGAAAAGGAATGTACTAAAAATGCTTGAGAAGAGAATTCATTTGTAGATTATTTACAACCAATCAGGACGGAATTTGAAACCTGGTGCAATTTTTTATTGAGTCGGTTGGAGCACTTATGAGGGAAAATATCAACTAGTTTCATCACTATTTATCGTGTGATTAGTCAAAGAGATATGTAGATCAGCAGAACAATTAAACTTAGCAGAGACGCTGGATTCTGAGATATTCTGTAAGTTACAAAGACCTGATAAAACATACGAAAACTTAAAACATATAATCTATATATATAAAACAGATGTCTGTGTGGTACCTTTTCACTCGAGATTCATCCAACCGATTTTGACCAAACTTTGCATATACATTGTACAATATAAGAGATAGGTTCTTAGCGTAAAAAATCGATAATTTAAAAAAAATCAATAATCGATAAAGCCGATCAAAAATCGATAAATTTAACTTTTTTCTCCGATTTCGTTCAAACTCGGTATGTAGGTTACTTACATCATGGCGAGCTCAATGATATCTCATTTTTTTCTACGCCACTGCGTTTAGCAAAAAACCGCGAAAAACTAAATATCGATTTCAACAAATTTTAAACTAAAGCTCACTCAATTTTCAAGGAATCTAATACAAACTTCACTCAATTGTAGCCCACAATAGGTTAATTGTTTAACAGTCATTTAACTTGATAATTGAGTTCACCCATATAGTGAAAACCCGCGTAAATAACGAAAAATGATGATTTTTTATTGGTTTCTTTCTTATTTTGCCTTGATCTTTCAACCAATTTTCATCAAACTTAACAATTGTTTTATAAATAGATCCTCTTTTACTTCCCTAGGATCACACTGACAAATTGAATTTCAAAAACTCCAAAATAATTGTGGCCTGAAGTATGTCTTCATGTTTCCTGTTTTACCCCTACATATCATCGGCTAACTTCCATTGAATAAATACAGACTACTTCTGTTATATCAGTAACTGCATTAATCCAAAATGTTTTTAATGCAAGTACTTTTAAGTAATTGAAGAAGATAGGCACTGTTACATCTAAATATGATGCTGTTTTTGCTCCCTTCTAATTGAACGCTTTTTCTGGTCGACCAGCTGGGTGTGACTGTTAATTGTGAACACATTTATCTGAAAAATAGACAAACCAGATCAAGTTTTCTTTAATAATATGGAGACGGCTCTCTTCAATTATAATTCTACAAAGCATTGCTAACGTTTTTCCCAAGCGACAATCATTCAACAACTCCTTACTTTTAACAAACGGACGCTCTCACTACTACGTTGACATATCAACCTTCGAAGGCTCAACAAAATTTGACAATGAACTTCAGTGATATGCTACACTCTCTACCAAAGTTCCCACTTTCTTATGGACATTTTCTCTTTACCTAGATCAATTTCTTTTATTCAGAATAATATTTTGAACTCACCTTTACTCCATTGTCCTTTTCACAAAACATACTATTGTAAATAAACAGTTTCTTTCTGTTTCAGTTTCATATAGAGTAAGAGTCCTTTCTAATCGTGTGCTTAAAGAGATGTTAATTGATACTTTTTTGCTTATAGGAAAATCTTATACGGACTATTATAATGATTATGATACCTAGCATTTAGTTTAGCGATTTTAGTCACCGGTATAGTTGAATAAAGGGCTTTAGCATTCTGCTACCACTTTCTTTCAACGTCAATTTTTGTACAAACTAAACACCAAAGTGGATCACAGAGCCTTGATATTTCTCTGATTTCTGATTGGTCTATTAATGCTAATATCATGCTTTCGTCTACGTCCGCACGGTTATACTTAGAAACATTTTCAACTCTTCCTCTTTTGTCTTCTCTCACACACAAGATGTATCGTTAGAGTGATTACGTCTGTACATTAGGAAGACGCTGTGACACATGCGCACACATATACGTACAAATATTGCACATCTCTTAAATCATCTTATTCACTCCTTCAACTACAAGCAACAGAAACTTATCAACTTCTAACAGTGAGCGTTGTGGCATCAAACAAATTCACGCCGCTCAAATCTTTGAAGTTTCTAAGTTAGATTTCCTAACATAATCCCAAACTTCGAATTCACTCACTCACCAACAAACTACACTTATTAACATCTACGATTTTTATCGAGACAACAAGAATTCTACTCAAATCGAGACAAGAATTCTACATACAGTTTACCAAACAAACATTTTATTCAAAAAGCAACTTTGAACATTCTTTCCCTTGAAACTTACTTTATTTCATGAACTGAAATCTTTTCTGCGAGTTCAGATAAATATAAAAGGCTTTAAAAATTTCAAGTTAAAGGTAAATAACTCCTGCTATATTATTAATTATAAATCCTACACATTATACATTTTGTAACACTTTTGCAACTCAGTTTAAATTGCCTGAGTAAATTCATTCTTCAGTTTTGTATATTGTTGATATAAAAATGTTTTATTATCGTTATTTTATATTTTGGATTTGATAGCCTTGTGCCATGCAAAATTTAAATGTCTGTGGAGATGATATTTTATTCACGCAGCCAACCAAAGTAAAAAATATCCTTCTGATCTATAATTAATTCAATCAAGAATCCATTCACTCCACAACAGGACCCCGTTCAAAATTTTCAAGAATGCTGCCGAATAAGGCTGGAAGGTACAACAGACTTGACGTTGTGAGTATAACAACCAAGAAAATCTACTAATCTGAATGTAAAGACGTGTAATAATAATAAGAAGCCATTTTTTAGTTTTCTTTTATCCTTATTACACTAAACAAAACCGAAATTCATTGAATTAATTAAAAGTTCAACTTTCAACTCAATCAAGTTGACCATATTTACAAATGAAGTATGTTCGATGAAATAATTAAACAAAAACCTTCTATTGCTTTACGGCTTACGGCCACATCACATTTAAAATACTGTTTCCTGTACAGTACTCGAAGTTAAGCAACGTCGAGCTTGGTCAGTACCTAGATGGGTGACTGCTTGGGAATACCAGGTACTGTAAGCTGGGGCGTGTTGGTGGTGTAATGGATAATGGCTCAGAATTGTTAATCGGATAGCTGAGTTCCAATTCCAACTGGGTTTGTTATGTTCACTTACACTTAGGAAAGGTATGAATCCACCTCTCCAGCTATAGGTTAATTAGAAAGTACCACTAAACTATTATTTTCTCAAGAAATAAAATAAAATTGCTTAAAAAATGATATCGGCATTAAATAACCCATAGAGATGTTGATATGCCGCTAAACAATCAACCAACTATTATTTTAACGGTTGTAGGAAAAAATAATGTAAGTTTTTCAGGCTAAGGAAAAAGTTATAACTTTGGTTTCTTAGTAAATAAATTATAAATAATAATTTCATTTTTAATATAATATTAACAGAATATTTTAATTTATAGTTTGGTTTGGTTTGTTTTACGGCATATCAACCTCAATGGGTTATTTAATGCCGATAAAATTTTTATTGTTGATATTTTTTTTTTCAGAAATGAATTGCTGGTAATATTTTTTTCTTCAAAAATATATTTCTGGTAATATTTTTTTAAATATATTGCTGGAAATAATGTATCGCTGGTAATAATTTTTTTACAAAATATTTCTGGTATTAAAATCTATTTTTACACTTTCATAGTGTTTTGACCCCAGTTTGGTGGTTAACTATTTGCCCATAGCTGAGATCTTAACAGGTGCTACCACCCCGGGTCAGGGTGGACCTGGAAACACCAGCAATTAAGTGGTGGTTCCACACCCTTCAAAATCTACTGATCAGAGGCCTTGCTGCTGAACGTAGTTTATCGTCATACCCAGGACGGTTTAATTTATAATAAAATAAGTAATATTTTAAATGAAATACGTAATATTTTGATTTAATGCTTTTTATAAAATAGAACGCATAAAATATATTGAAATAGCTGTCGTTAACTGCACCAACACAAATGTCATCCTGGTAGCATATTGTATTTTTTATATCGCTACCAATAACTTGCTCTATAGCCTTTTGAAAAACTGCACTTGCGGTTTTAATTCCATATGGCATTCTTTTCCATTTTAATAAGACTATTGGCATGTTTATTGTTGTGATTTCTTTAAATTCTTCGTCATTAGGTATTTGATGGTATGCCAATTTTCGATCAACTTTAGATAATTTTTTTTATGCCCGCAATGTAGTTCAAAGCCCATTTTATATTGGGGATGGAATATTCTGTACGTATTTTGTGGTTTACGCCTATTTTGTAGTCACCACATATGCGCAGATCCACATCCTTCTTTCTTAAAATTAATAACGGGGAGGCAAATTTCTTCACTCCTGACTAGTTTAAGTATATCTTGTTCCTGTATTTTTTTTAGTTCTTCCACAACTATTGGTAGTAGATGATCTGGCATTTTTCATGCTTGAGTGGGGAGACATTTTCCTTTAGTCTTAACTTTGCTTCAAATTTTTTAATGTCCAAGGTTCTTCTGACTTAACATTTTTAAAATTAATTTTGTCGAATTTATGTTAAATATATCATTCCCTATTAGACCATGATTCTTTTCACAGTTTATCACGATAATTTTAATACGTTAAACTTATTTTTAGTTCCACACAAACTTCAAAATAGCCTAACGTTTTTATCACTGATTTGTCGAACTGATTAAATTGGACAAGGTTTTCTTTAATTTTGGCTTTACCAATTTCTTCCAGAAATTTCTTGGCATCAACGTTACACCACTTCTCGTATCTAGTTGCATGTCCAATATAATATTATTGATTCGAATTTTTAATATCCTTTTCTCGTTTCTTTTTTTTTTATTAAAAGATGTCCATACTTATTTCCTCTTCATTTTGTTGGACCGTCTCTACGTTTCTCTTTTTGGATTTACACATACGTTTAAAATAACTAATCTTGAAACACTTTTCGCCAGACATTTTTGTTTTTCTTTTTGATGTTGATAACCACAAAATGAAACATTGTGTATTTTCTTGTTATCGCGTATTTTCCCATTTCCTCTCCCAGATCCGTAACCTTTGTATTAAATTTTCGAATCAATTCCTGTTACTGAACAAATTTAACACGCTATTCTAGCGACAACTTTTCCAGTTGTAATTGCATTAAAGTCATTTGCCGATATTCCTCATCTTAAAGGCCGTTGGATCAAATCCTCTTCAATTGACTGGTTTTCCGCTCCCAGTTTCACAAATTCACAATATTTAGCGGCCTGTTTCAAATGAATAACATATTCAGTAACTTGTTCATTCCATTTTTGAGATATGTTCATGAACTTCGCTCTCTTTGCATTCACTAGTTTTTCCTTAGGTGCTATATTTCTCACTATTAGTTGACTTATATTGTCAATCATTTCCTCCAAGAGTCTTGGGTGTGCAATTGCTGATAATTTCATAATGGTCTGACAATCATCCGTTGCCAAGAAGAGATCAATTATCTGGTTTTCTCCCCCTACTGATTTCTTCAAATCCTTTAGCTTTTTTGTTCTAGCTTTAGCTGCTAGAATCCTAAGCCACGCTTGTACGTATTCATAATTGTCCAATGATAATTGCTCGCTTGGTTCTTTAGATATCGGCGACACCAATATAGTGTAGTGTAGTATAGTGTTACTGACTCAAAGGAAGTAGTATGCACTCAACTGCCTCATGAGTAATTGCTGTAGCTATTTATAGTCTTTGTGAGTTCCTTTATAAATGAGTCACCTCAAAATCATATGCCTTTTGGGGGGCATCACAAAATAAATACAATTCCGAAGAAATTGAACTGACAACTGCACATTTGGGAAATTTAAAAGAACTTAACTGTACAAGCTCCTTAGATAAATTATTCCAGTTATTTTGGTATTCCAATGTTATAATTCCATCCCAGTATAATTTTAATTTCCACAAGTCACTTAAAAGTAATCTCCCTTCCACTGGAAAACACAAATGGTCAAAGACATTTGAATTCTACGACAGAATTTTTCTTTTTGTGTTGGAAGAGGAATCTAAAACTCCTACTGAAATGTCTAAAGTATCCTTGATGGTATTATATTTATATCCTAAATCTTTTCCTAAGTCACTACTATGTTCTATTTTTATCGTCTTCTAGACATTTCTTTAATTCCTTACAATTTGAGTTTCACGAACGCAAGTAAAAACTTCCATCTAGCATTCTTTTCGTGGATCCTTTAGATAGATAAGTATAACAATTCTTCAGGAGTATCACTTGTATTAATCAAATTATCAACATAAAAAATTATCTCTTAACATAACAGTACATGAATCATGAGGACATTTGTTAGATAACAAAATTCAATAAAGGAACTTGCTATAAACCCAAAGATCAAATTTCTATTATAGCAAACTAAATTTTCACCTTCTTTCAAGAAAAAACAAAAATTTATTTCTATCATTTTCATTTTTAATTTGATCATCAGGAAGGCTTTTCTAATATCGGCCAAGATATTTCTTACTTCGAAAGGACATCAAATCTAACATCAAATTGACACCAAGATAAAAGGCTTCATTTAACGATGGTGAACAATTTAAGTGATCTTTCATCACTTTTAATTACAGGCTTATGAGGTATCCAAATAATCTTTAGGAGAAACGGATATACGTTCCACAATTCCCTCTTTTTCCTGCTCATGAAAAACAGTGAAATAATAGTGAAGTAAGTCTTTCTTTTCTAAACTTTTGACTACCCTATCTAAAACCTTCAAAGCGACAGCATAATTAGAAGGAACTAATTTTAACTCATCTTTATTCTACGGAAGCTCTATATACTAAGTATCATTTTTAAAACTAATAGAGTTTTGGAATTGTTCTCTTTGTCTCTTTATCAAAACCAACATAGGGCAGTTTTATTTTCTAATTCCAAAGACTCTAGACTCAATATTTTCTCCAGATTTCTTTCGATCATAATATTTTCAAATATGTCACAAATAGGGTCGAAATAATCCGCTTTTGTGGGGACAAAACAAAATTCACGTGAGTAATTGGACAGGAAGAATACCCCGATATGCTAATATAAAATAGTTATCATCACAGTCATTCTTCGTTACTTCCATCTCGCGGTAACAAGACATTTAGTCATATTTTCGAAAGGAATTATGCTTGTATGGATTTCCCATATATTTTTACTCATGAACTGAATGATATCTACCCTTAAAGATCATTATTGTCCATATTAGAAAGTCGTCAGCTAAGTCTGTAGATGAGACCCTTCAAATTATTTCTCAGTTTTTCCAGCCTGTCTGTAGTGAAAAACAAACGAGGTAGCTTTACTTGAAACTTTATTCAACTATAACTCAACTTCGACAACAAACACAGGGTAAAGCTTTTTTGCTTTATTTTTTATTATTTTTTTTTTAAATAACTGGTCCAGGGGGAGACAATTATTGTTAAAATTATATTCTATATCAAATTCATTATCGATTAAAATTGGAAATGTTTTATAATAATTAATAAATTTTACATTAAGGTTTATTGTTGCAAAAAATTCCTAATGGAACCGAGAAATGTCCTTACATCATATTCTCTAGTGTAAGTAGTTGTTTTCTAATTTATTTTTTTGAGGACTAAAAGTCTGAAAAATATGATCTCTGATCCAGTGTCAAGCAGACAATTAAAGGAAAACAATCTATCTTCCTTGGCGACAGTTACTTTTACAATAGGGTGAAGAATATTTTCCAGTTCCAGATCCTAATAAATGGCATAGTGTTTATCTGTCCTACAAAAATAACACTTGTGAACATATTTTTAATAGTACTGGTACTAACATTTTCTAGCGTGGAAACTGGAAAGTAGAATTTTTGGGGATGTTAAACTCTTACTCTTTTATTTTTTCTCTATTACTACTAATGCCGTTAAATTTTTCTTTTGTTAACTGTAATGTTTGTATCACCTTACTAGATTTATCGAAAATTTCCTGTAGGGAAAATTGTACCTGTTATATAAATGATTTATTTTAAAAAAAAAAAAAACCTGGCAATTTAGTATTTGTTGCCAGTGAATCTTCCTCTAAAAAAATCAA